TTTTTTTTTTTTTTAACTTTTTAACACGAGATATAATTTTTTTTCTCTGAGACGTGTTTGTTCTTGTTTGTTGTAAGGTTATAGACATGACAGGCCGGGAACAGAAGGTTTATTACAGCTACAGTCAGATTAGTCACAAGCACAACATCCCAGATGACAGCCCTCAGCAGCCCCTGGGCAAAGACTCCAAGCCCCAGGGCTTTGCCCTGCCCGAGCTGGAGCACAACCTGCAGCTCCTCATCGACATCACGGAGCAGGAGATCATCCAGAACGACCGGCAGCTGCAGTACGAGAGGGACATGGTTGTCAACCTGACCCATGAGATACAGAAGATGTCCGAAGTTCTCTCGCACGAGGAGAAGGCAATTAGCAATCTCAGCAAGGTGCTGGAGATGGTGGAAGAGTGCGAGAGGCGGATGCAGCCCAGCTGTGAAAATCCCTTGACCTTGGACGAGTGCGCAAAGATCTTTGAGACGCTGCAGGACAAGTACTATGAAGAGTACAGGATGTCTGATCGGGTCGACCTGGCAGTGGCAATAGTCTATCCTCTCATGAAGGATTACTTCAAGAACTGGGATCCCCTCAAGGTGTGTATTACTGCGGTTTATCTGCGGTTTCTACTCGGTGGCTTTAGTCTTTAGTGTCTTGACTCCCCCCTGCTGCTACTCCATGTCCCAGATTCCTGATCAGTCTGGGGAGAAAGAAAAATAAAAACCAAAACCAACGCAAACCCCACTCTGCACCCGCTCTCAGACACTTGTTAGGACTGAAGGCTGCTTTTCTGCAAAGTGGCTAACAGTTGAGGAGCCTGTAAGGTTAAAATCCCTTTCAAGGGTGTTGGAAAGAAAAAGTAGATGAAAGCTAAGTCTGTAGTTTTGTTTTATTGCAAAAGCAGGAGAGGTCTGTCTGTCAGGCAGTCAGATAGGCACTGACAGTTCCTGCTGCCATTTCAGCTGTGATAGGTACCAGTCGGGATTCTCTCTGTACACCTGAAAAAGCTCAGACTGTCCTCTTCCCCCCTGAGGTTAAATCCATAAAGCGGGATTTTCCTCTAGACTTGACTGATCAGGGCTGCAAGCTCTGGCACCGCCTGAGAGGGAAAAGGCCAAAGGCTGCTCACGCCCTGTCGTTTCCAGGACTGTACGTACGGCACCGAGATCATCGGGAAGTGGAAGAGCCTTCTGGAGAACGACCAGCTGTTGTCGCACAGCGGGCAGGACCTGTCGACAGATGCTTTCCACAGGTAAAGAGCGACTGAGTTGTGCTTTGTGCGGCACCTTCAAGAGCTGCTTCCTCAGGGGATGGAAAAGAACAGACACAGGCCTGCTTTCCAGATGATTCTCTTGATGTGTCTGTTAAAATCCAGCTGTCGGCTATATAAAAAGAAGTAGCTTTTAAATAACAGTTACCATTCGGGGTATTTAGGCCCGGGGCTATCGCTTTAAGCTTAACTTTGATTTATGTATTTCTGTTTCCAGGCTGATGTGGGAAATCTGGATGCCATATGTCAGAACCATAGTGGCGCAGTGGCAGCCGAGGAACTGCGGCTCGATGGTGGATTTCCTGGATAGCTGGGTGAACGTCATTCCTGTCTGGATACTGGATAACATCCTGGATCAGCTCATCTTCCCCAAGCTGCAGAAGGAGGTGAGACGGGAGGGCTGCGTTAGGGCAGAGCCGTGCTCTGAGCCAGGACTTGAATTTCTGTCGACTAGAACTTCTAAATCACCGACGTGGTGCCTCTGCCGATGCATTTCGGCGTTAGGGGGTGGCATTGAGGCTCTCCTTGCGTCTGGCAAGACTTACTGCTAATGGGTGGACTTCCTTGAATCTTTTCTGGTTTCCCTCAAGGTGGAAAGCTGGAACCCTTTGACGGACACAGTCCCAATCCACTCGTGGATCCACCCCTGGCTTCCCCTGATGCAGGCGCGCCTGGAGCCGCTCTACTCCCCCATCCGGAACAAGCTGGCGAACGCGCTGCAGAAGTGGCATCCCAGCGACTCCTCCGCCAAGCTCATCCTCCAGCCCTGGAAGGACGTGTTCACACCTGGGTCGTGGGAGGCTTTCATGGTCAAAAACATCGTGCCTAAACTAGGTGAGACGATCCGGACAGAGCTGAATTTCTGGAATCTACTGGTTGGCACCTTCCCCCTTACACTTAGAAAAGAGACATGGTTGCTGGTGTTACTTCAGAGAATATTATTAATAAATTTAGACTAAGCTTGTGTCTTTCCAGCTGTTAGTAGCTTGCCTTTTTCTGAGGCAGACATTTTAGGAGATATGGGGAAGCACTCTGATTATTCTCGATGATTTCAGTCTTATTTTTCTAAATCATCCGATTCCTCTGTTCCTCAGCTGACAGGAACATCTGATGGCTGTCAGGTAGTACCAAGCTATAAAGTGTCTCTCTTACTCCAGTGTTCTTTGGTCTATGCTAATGCCTTCACCAGGAGATTTTGCAGTTAACCATTCAGCCATTCAAACTGCCTGAAAGGCTCCATACTCCAAAAAATAGTCGAACATTTTAAGTTTCTTAATTCTGGCAGCAGCTCGCTGACACTGGAAGCAGAAATGTGGTGTTTTGGGGGCAGGGATCAGCTGATCGGTTTAAAGATCCCAAACGTCCCTCGGGGTAACGTGCAGTGCAGGGGCTCCTCAGATCCCCTGTGTCACTAGTGACATAGGTCAGGGCACTGACAGAACTCTGAGTCAAGTTCTTTTCTAATTCTTCTCTCCCTTTTCCCAGGGATGTGTTTGAACGAACTCATCATAAACCCTCACCAGCAGCACATGGATGCCTTCTACTGGGTGATTGACTGGGAGGGGATGATTTCTGTCTCCAGTCTTGTTGGGCTGCTGGAGAAACACTTCTTCCCAAAGTGGCTGCAGGTGAGAAACTGCCAAGGCTGAGCAGGCTTCACTGTCAGGTGTTGTTGTGACTCCTGCCCAGGAGCTGCTGCCCCAGTGTGAAATGTTCCAATTGCCGAAGGGGGCATTTCCACTCGGAGCTCTGAGCGGTCAGAACAGACTCTCCCCGAAGGCTGTCACAGACTTTGCTTCTCTCAGTAATAAACTAAGTGATGTTAAGGTCTCTCCTCCGTAACTCTTTCCTGTCCTGCTGCATTTGACCTGTCGTGTTGTTTTGCAGGTGCTTTGTTCTTGGCTTAGTAACAGCCCCAATTATGAAGAAATTACGAAGTGGTACTTGGGTTGGAAGTCCATGTTCTCGGACCAAGTGTTGGCACATCCGTCGATCAAAGACAAATTCAACGAAGCTCTCGATATCATGAACCGGGCCGTCTCTTCCAGTGTGGGTAGGTGGCTTTGGTTCTTGCCGGTCTCTTTGGGCAGGGCCCTGCTAATCGGTGTCGTAGCAGCTCCCATCAGCAGCGAAATTCAAAGTGTGTTTTACCTCGCTGTGTCCGTAAATCACACCTGCAAGGTGCTACTTCTTAAGTGTCTGTGCTTTGCTGAAGCAGAGACATTTTGGTGACTGGCTGCCTGTGCCATGAAGCAGCTGATTCTCTATCAGCCTTGCCTGATTATAGTGTATTTTACATCAGTCAGTGGGAGACCATAATTTTAAGGTGTTGACTTCTGAAACTATAATTTGTTGGGGTTTTTTTCTTTACAGTGAGCTATCTGTTCTTCTCCTTAGCTTTAGAGCAGTGCCCTTTCCTTCCACGTGTGACCTAAAAGAGATTGTTGGGAATTTGCTAAACTGTAAAAGAGAAGGCTGTGCCTGAGGAACTGGTGCCTGAGGCTTGCCCAGCCCGAGAGCTCCTTTCCTGCTGCCTCTTGCCCCTCACTGTGCAGTGTGGTGGAGGATCTGCATCAGAAACCCTCCTTCGGGCCCATTTTTAGCGTTACGTTTATTTCTGCGGTAAAATGATACAACTACAGGCGAGCGTTGCACAAAGAGGAGCTCAGCTGTTGGGAAATTTTGGGGCCTGAGAGTCACGCAGCCAAAAAGTGAACTGGAGGCTGATAGTGGAAATGCTCCCACGGCAACGCTGCTTCCTGCTTCCTTCCCCCTTGTGCAACAGCCCCTGTTTGTAACCCGGCAGTGCCACGTGGAGTTTACGGGCAGGGTTTCGGCTTTGGGGAGTATTTTTGTTTATTGTTGTTGCTGCTGCTGCAGGCCTTTTCCCTGTAGCCGTGCAGCATCCTCCTCTTTCTGGGTGTGCTCAGACATACAATTCAGGATTGTGTCACATCCTGTTGCTTCTGCTGCAGTTCTCAAACTCACCGCGTTAGGCTACGCTGTACGAGCAGTATAAAACTTAGGGAATTAGAAGGTGGGAAGGAGGATTTGGAGTGGAGCGATTGACTTTACTGTTTGTGTCCTGGGGCTGGATTTTAGCCATAGACCTTCCCCCAGAGGCGGAGTGGGAGCCTGTTCTCACTCCCCGTGTCCTGTCTCTCCCTCCAGGGGGGTACATGCAGCCCGGCGCTCGGGAGAACATCGCCTACCTCACTCACACGGAGCGGAGGAAGGACTTCCAGTACGAAGCCATGCAGGAGCGCCGCGAGGCTGAGAACATGGCCCAGCGCGGCATCGGCGTGGCCGCCAGCTCCGTGCCCATGAACTTTAAGGACCTGATTCAGACAAAAGCGGAGGAGCACAACATCGTTTTCATGCCTGTGATTGGCAAGAGGCACGAAGGGAAGCAGCTGTATACGTTCGGCCGGATCGTCATTTACATCGACAGAGGCGTCGTGTTTGTGCAGGGAGAAAAGACTTGGGTGCCCACCTCCCTGCAGAGCCTCATCGACATGGCCAAGTGAGGCCCTGCTTTGAACTCTGAGACCACCTTGCTGGTATTTTTAGCATCACTCTTAGAATAAAGAAGTTGCGGATTTGTAAATAGAGTGAAACTGCAGCCGTACGCTGGGACTTTTTCCTTAAAGCTGTTCAGGCAGCCTCGAGACACAGTTACAGGGGGAAGCGGATGCTGAGGAAGGAACGAGTGGTTCTGCTGCTCGTGTAACGGCCACCTGTGATAGAGGTTGATCACCAGCTTCGAAGGGACTGCAGGATGTGACTGTGCCCACAGCAGGCGAGTGAGGGCCAGGCTGGCCCAGGCCCAGAGGATTCCCATGACAGAGGTGTCACAGCTTGCCCCTGCTCCACTCTGGCAGTGAGTTCCTGCCCCGCGCAGCGAGTACATCTCCACTGTGCCCAGCCAGGGCTGGTCCCACCTCTGCGGGTGTGCTGGGGGCCGTGCCGGGGGCCCTCTGCCCTGTCCAGGCAGAGCTGGGACCTGGCCTGTTTTTCCCTGCAAATTCAGTTTTGTTGCGGGACCACAGCACTTCAGGGCGCAGAGGTGAGGGAGAGAAACCACAGCTTTGTTCCCCCTGGAAGATAACCTGATTCTCCCCAGAACAAAGCGCTGATTTCAGCAGCACAGGGCAGCTGAAGGCCCTCCCTGGCAGAAAGCTTTTCCAAGCCAGCATTTGGAACCAGACACTGCTACCTGAAAACTACAAACCCCTCTCAAGTAATTTCCCCCTCCTGATGCTTCAGCGTGTGCACAGTACATCACCTGTTCCTGAAAGGGGAGGGGACCAAAAGAGCAATCCTTCTGCAGCAGGGATGGTTTAAAAGCCAGCTTTTAGTTAAATGTGTTTGCCATAGTGAAGTGAGTGCAAGTCAGAGCACAGCTTTGCCTTTTATTAAATAAGATACAAAAACGTCCCAGCACGCTCAGTGTTCGGGTGCTGCCACTTCAGGCCAAGCACGAGGACACGGCCGGTGCCTGAGCTCCACAGCTGCGCAGGAGCCGCGGGGGGAGGAAGAGCCGCGGCCCCCAGCCCCCCGCCGTGGCACGCTCAGGACTCTGCAGCAGGACTGCGCCCGCCAGCGCTCTCCTCCCTCCTGATGATCTCCAAGTCCTCGCAGTCTTTGTACGTCGGCTCCTCCCTGAAGTCCCAGACCTCGGGGGACAGTTCCTTCAGTTTTTGCGGGGGGAACCAGTGGACAGAGGTGTCGTTAAAGGTGTCCAGGTACCGAGGGTGAGCGGGGAGTGCTACTTCCTCCGTCCCTTTCAAGACCTAAAGAGCATTTGGGGGAAAAAGTTATGCATGATATGGAATAACTTTTCTGCAAAGTTCAGACTCGGTGAAGATGAGGATGGTGTTAAATTGAGCCAAACCCATGTGTGCAGTATATTCTGCAGATAATGTAGAATGAGCCTAAAGTGGTTCAGTTTTATGTTGTAGAGGCCAGGAAAAAAGGTATTAAAAATCCCTGACTGGTTTGGGCTGGGAGGGACCTTAAAGCCCATCCAATCCCACCCCCTGCCCCGGGCAGGGCCACCTTCCCCCAGCCCAGGTTGCCCAAAGCCCCGTCCAACCTGGCCTTGAGCCCTTCCAGGGAGGGGACAGCCACAGCTTCTCTGGGCAGCCTGTGCCAGGGCCTCACCCCCTCACAGGGGAGAATTTCTGCCTCAGATCTCATCAGAATGTCCCCTCTGTCAGCTTAAACCTGTTCCCCCTTGTTCCATCCCTCCCCCCTTTCCTGCAGCCCCTTTCAGCCCTGGGGGGCCGCTCTAAGGTCTCCCCGGAGCCTTCTCTCCTCCAGCTGAACCCCCCAACTCTCCCAGCCTGTCCTCACAGGGGGTGCTCCAGCCCCCTGAGCATATTCATGGCCTCCTCTGGACCTGCTCTAACATGTCCATGTCCTTAAATAACCATCCTCGTCTTTTCAACTGTAATTACTTTTGTTCCTCAACAAAATAATGTTAAAGAACAGGCAACACCTACCTTTGCTATGTAAGAATAATCTCTCTCCAATATTCTTGACAACAATCTAGAATAACACAGGGTCACCAGCATTAGACGTGGCGCTCCTGGGGAATTCAGACAACTTTTCCCAAGTGTGGGAGGGAAAAGGCAGGAGAGGGTTGATGACTGCAAACCCGACAGCGAGTTGAAAATGAGCAAAACGTAAAAATCAGTGGGTGAAGCAATAAAGGAATCGAGGACAGCGCTGTCGGAGGCACCAGCCCCTTTCCCTGAGGGGATGCCCCCACCTTTCCTCGATTCCCTTAAAGCTGTTGCCGACGATGACCATCCTGGCCAGGGCCCCCGCAGACCAGTTCCTCCAGAGCAGGTTGTTGTACAGGGCCTTCCCGCAGTGCACCATGTAGAACAGCGTGGCCGAGCCCTCCACGGCGTGTTTCCCCTCCTGCACCCACAACAACGGTTCCCGTTACAGCCCCGCCCGGGCCGTGCCCCCGGGAGCCCCGCCGGCCGGGGAGCGGGGCCCATCCTCACCTCCAGGCTCACTCTGAAAGAAAAGCCAAGAATCAGCTCTGTGCCGTGACTCAAACTCCACACCAGTGCCACCAGGACTTCTCTTCCAGCAGCCCGCAAAGGCACGGGGACTTCCCGAGAACCAAAGCACATCTGAACGCAAGGACAAACCCCACAACTTGCCACTGCTGCCTGTGCAGGGCACAAAAACCTCTTCACTCAGCCAGAGGCCTTCTTCGTATCTGGATCTCCAGGGCTTTTGTGTAGAAGACCGTGAGCATGTCAGTAATTACTTCAGACAGGTTTTAATGGCAACGGAAGTTGATCTATTTGTCACTTTCAGACATTCATTTTGTATATTTAGCACTAAATACCTAAACTTGGCTAAAAAGCTAATCAAAACATCAGGTAAATTAGAACTCATGGATTCAGTAACTTAATACTGAAAAAAAACCAAATTCCTAGTGCAGGAGTCTCACACCCTTACTCAACTGTAACTAATAAAAACATTTAGCATCAGTATTTGTCCTTCCCAGCACATGTAAGATCTAAGTGAGGAGAGGGAGAGCTCCCACGCCGTGTCCCTTGCGGGGTATCTGCATGCAGGGAAGGTGTTTGGCAACGTACCTGGCCTGGAGACTCAGTGCCTTGGAGGAGAACTTTGGCAGTGAGAGGGGGAGGCAGCTGGGTGCTCACGATCCTGCAGGGACAGAAGAAAGTCACCCACGAGCAGCCTGGCATCTCCCGCAGACAGGCAGAGCCAGCAGCAGCGCCCACACCAGGCTGGTACTGGTACCCTGAGATAATCTGAGGGTGCTGGAGGGCCCCGCTCCACAGCTGGGCACCTCAGGGGGGCCTCGAAGGTTCCACAGCACCCACCTCTCCCAGTCGGGCTGCAAGGGGTGAAGGGCCAGCCCCAGACACGGGCCGGAGCTAACACCCCCCCACCAGGAACACAAGCTGAGTGATCACCAGGACTCTCACTTTCTTGGGTCGGTTCCACTCTCAGGAAAACCACCTGCTGGTGTTTACTTTGGGCCAACAAATCTGGTTTTGCTGAGT